TGCGGGCTCAATCCCCAGTGTGGGGCGTGCAGGAGGCAGCTGATCAAGGATTCTCATCACTGATGTTTCTATCTCTCCCTCTCCCCCTCTGAAATCAATAAAAATATATTTAAGATCTAGGAGCTTGGCAGAAAAGGCAATAAGACTGATAGAAAGTGGAGGGGTGGGATGAAAGGACAGGAAGTTGAAATCAGGAAAAGAAAGTAGTGCTAGCTGCTACATCAGAGGTGGTACTTAGCAGTTGCCATTTCAGTCCCCTTTGGTGTCATTCAAAGTTGGAATGATAGGCACTCATCACAAAAGCTCTGTAGAGGCCTAAGACCCAAGCCTGGGTCTACTGGAGGGAGGGGGTGCTATTTGAGTTCAAGCAATACTTTTCCCTTTGGAAATTGATAAAAGCAGTGCAATTTCCTTTGGCTCCTGGGGAGAGGTGGAGAATCTGGCTGTTTAACCTTAACAGGGCCAGGGGTTCTGCCATATAGCTGACTTAGGGCTTCCTGAAGCCAGGATCCTGGCCATTTCAGTCACACGATTATGCCCCGAACCTTTCAGAGACTCCCAAGAGCTAGTGAAGGGTTGAACAGCGACTCAAGGAGGATCAGCAAAAATCATATCCAAGAGAATGGAATGGGCAAAGGAGGCCCAACGTTCCCTGCCAGAGTCTGGATTGGGCACCATGATGCAGACTTCACCTGAGGAAAGGAGAACTGGGTGGGGCTGGGTGGTAGAGCCTGCAGAGTCAGCTCAATGGAGCATCTGCAAGCTGCCTGCACTAGGACTCCTTTGGGTAAAGGAGAAATGGCAGATGAGTCAGTCCCAGGGATTGTGGGGGAGCAGAGAGGAACTGGATGATCCAGTAAGGAAGAAATGGCTGAGGGAGCAGGGGATAGAACCCAGGCTTTCCAATTCCCACCGCCTAAGCTGTCCCCGCTTCACACGTCATCCCACACACAGTGTTTAGACAGAGCAGTAAGAAGAAACACAGACATCCTGGATCCCTCAGGGAGGAGGCCAGAGCTGGGAACAGAAGGAGGTCTGTTTATTCCTGGCAGTCCAATATCCGAGGGGCCCCACAACCACTTCTGTCCAGACTCCAGGATGAACTCTCCCAGAGCCTCTGACTTCTGTCCAACAGATAGCTTGGGGCTGAGGACCATCTGTTGGAACCCAGTGTCCCTCGCCCACCGGCTTCCTTGAGGATGGGTTTGAGGCTAGATGCTTTCCTCTACCCACTTTGTCCCAACATAAGTCCTGCCTCTCTAGGACCCCTGACAGCTGTGCCTCCAGTCCTTCAACCCTGGTTTCCCCCAGAGAACCCCAAAGTCCCCTTGTCCATCCACCTGTGTTCTTGGGCGAGGAAGTGTTTCCTAATGTCTCACCTCCAGCTTTCTTGCTGCAGTTTTAGCCTGTTCCCTTCCATTTCAGGGCGTGTAACTGGCTTCTCTCCCTCACCCCAAAGCCACACTGGATATGATGTAGAAATGGGGGCACCTCTGGGCATTCTAACCCTGAACTTGCCCTTCCTCTCACTATACAGTCATGCACTACTTAAACGACATTTGACCCTGGCTGGTGTGGCTCAGTTGGTTGAGTGTCATCCCATGCACCGCATGCACTGAAGGGTTGCTGGTGTTCAATCCCTAGTCAGGGTATCTCTCCCTCTCCCTCTCTCTCTGAAATCAATAAAAACATACTTTTCTTAAAAAAGACATGTTGGTCTTTGAAGGACTGCATATGGGACAGTGGTCCCATAAGATTATGCAGATGTAGCCTGACTGGCAGCGTTCACTTGCCCAGGTTGCGGGCTCGATCCCCTGTGTGGGGCACGCAGGAGGCAGCCAATCAATGATTCTCTTTCATCATTGATGTTTCTTTTTCTTTTTTTTCTAAGGCTTCTGAAAGGTTTATTGAAATATCTTGGCCTAGACATTTACTCATCACTTTTTTCAATTACTTTTCAACATTCTAAAAATTTTCCGTTTAAAATACATTTAGCCCTCGCTGGTTTGGCTCAATGGATAGAGCGTCGGCCTGTGGACTGAGGGGTCCCGGGTTCGATTCCAGCCAAGGGCACATGCCTGGGTTGCGTGCTTGATCCCCAGTGGGAGGCATGCAGGAGGCAGCCAATCAATGATTCTCATCATTGATGTTTCTCTCTACCTCGCTCCTTTCCGATCTAAAAAATCAGTAAAATATATTTTTTTAAAAATACATTTAACTTTGCCAATACTAGATTCTCCCCCAAAGGACTATCATAACTGTTTTCAAACATGAAAAAAAAAAATTAATCCAATAGGATATAAAACTGAACTATGTAACCTATCACTGCATGTTCCAAATCCTTAAGTTAAATGTGGGATGAATTTGAAAAGGGCCAGGACCTGGGTCTGCTCTAAGCAGGTGGATGCAACATCTTACCTTTCCGAGTTTAATTACACCAACAGGAACAAAGTTATGAGAATGAAGGGCTCCAGAGAAGACAGAAAAGGTAGCTTTTATTTCTCCAGCAAAGCCCTCCAGAATGTCCTCTCCATCTCGTCGGGCCCACATTGTCCCCAAGGACAAACCCACAGCCGCTGGCATTGACTAATTTACTTGACCAAGGAATTCAAACCATAAACCAAAGCTTGCTGCGCAACCCCTCAGTACTGCCCCCCCAAACACACACAATTGGGGGCCAATGACATGTAGAGAAGACAGACACTCATCATTGATGTTTCTATCTCTCCCTTCCTCTCTGAAATCAAAAATATTTTTAAATATATATTTTTTATTGATTTCAGAGAGAAAGGGAGAGATAGAAACATCAATGATGAGAGCAAATCACTGATCGGCTACCTCCTGCACAACAGACCGAAAGGCATAGAATGCCAGAAAAAAAGGCACCCATGTAGAGCACTGCCATCTGGGACATATTTTGGGTGCATTTAGCTTAGTCTTGAAAAGCCTAATATAACATATAACCAAAACACCACCAGTTTCCTTCATTGTGCACACATTTGTAGAATGCTTCTTAGATGCAAAAGCCCGAAACTGAGGCGTGTGCCCTTGACTGGAATCGAACCAGGGACCCTTCAGTCCGCAGGCCAAGGCTCTATCCACTGAGCCAAACCCGTGAGGGCTAAAAAATATTTTTTAAAAAAGATTATGCAGCCTAGATGATTTGGCTCAGTGGATAGAGCGTCAGCCTGCGAACTGAAAGGTCCCAGGTTCGATTTCAGTAAAGGGCACATGCCCGGGTTGTGGGCTCAATCCCCAATGGGGGACTTGCAGGAGGCAGCCGATTCATGATTCTCTCTCATCATGGATATTTCTCTCTCTCTCTCCCTCTTCCTTCCTCTCTGAAATCAATAAAAATACATTAAAAAAATATATTATGCAGTTGTAAAATTCCTATCATTTAGTGATGTAGCAAAATGCATTACACAAATACCATTGTGTTACAAGTGCCTACAGTATCCAGAACAGTGACATGCTGTTCTGGTTTGTAGCCTGGGAGCTGTAAGGGAACAGAATTTGTCACCCGCAAATATGTCTCTTTAGCATAAGGATTATTTTAGGCTGGTTAATTTTAAGAAACCCTCTGACTTGAAAGCTCTGAAAACCAAGTAGAAGTTACTCTTCGTAAAAGATATTTGTGCTTGTAGGGACCTCTCCATTTGTAAGCGTGTCTTCCTCACTGTACCAGGAAGAGGGGGAAGGACCTTATCTCTAGAAAGTCTTATCAGTGTAGAAGACCTTGACTGAAATTTGCATAACAACCTTACCCCTTGTTTACTGCCCTTTCCCTCACCCCCAACATCAGTGGTTCTCAACCTTGGCTGCACATTAGAATCACCTGGGAATCTTTTTAAAATCCTGATTTCTGGGCCTCATCCCTCCGGAAATTCTGTTTCTTTGTTATTGGGTGGGGCCACAACATTAGTAACAAAGAAACAGAATTTCCAGAGGATGGGGCCCAGAAATCAGGATTTTAAAAAGATTCCCAGGTGATTCTAATGTGCAGCCAAGGTTGAGAACCACTGCCCAACATCCTTTGTCTTAAGTTAAAGATGGTATTTAAGGTGATGGCTTCAAGCATTTTGGTGAGTTACTCAGTTTCCCTGGGTGACTCCTACCTCCCAAGTACGCATGTTATCAAATTGTTTTCTCTTGTTAATCTGTCTCTTATTAAAGGGATGTCTCAGCCAAGAGTCCAGAGGGTAGAGGGAAAATTATTTTTCCTTCCCTACAGAGCTATAGGCTGTACTAACCCTAGGTGAGTAGTAGGCTATACCATATAGGTTTGTGTAAGTAAATTCTATGATATTTCCATAACGACGAGATCGGCTAACAACCCATTTTTCAGAATGTATCCCTGTCGTTAAGTGACACATGACTGTACTTAGTTTCCCTGGGGAGCAAAAGCCCCACTGGCCTCTTGCTTTTCATAGGCGATCTGCCTTTCTCAGGGGAGTTCTTTCTTAGAGGGGAGGATTGGCTGGAGGGAAGGGACATGCAGAGAAGGGCAGAAATCCTAATAATGTTATTAACTGCTACCTTTCATTGAGTGTTTATATGCCAAGCACTGATCTAAGTTTTTATCACATATTCCATTTAGTCTCAATGGGTGAGTACAACGTGAGCCCCATTTTGCAGATGAGGAAACTAAGGCAAGAGAACTTCAGTTACTTGCTCAAATTTATACAGCTAAAAAAATAGGATCTCAGCCAGGATTCTGAGATCCAAAGCAAGGCTTTCTGATTCCAACACTGGTTTGTGCCTCTTATTCATCGAGGGAGGGGGAGAGAGAGAGAAAAACATTGATTTGTTGTTCCACTTATATCTACATTCATTGGTTGCTTCGTGTACAGGCCCATAACATTTTCCACAACAACCCTGAGAATGGCTTCCCCCATTAAGTGTCAGGCACTGGGATCTAATTAGTTACATATGTTATCCCATAACATTTTCCACAACAATCCTAAGAGTAGCTTTCTTTCTTCCCCATTTTACAGGTGGGAAAATTGGAGCCCAGAGGTAGCTTGCCCAATATCACACCCCAGAGCTATTTGAGCTTGTAGCCCACAACTTGACTCACAAAGTAGCTGAGGAAAATGCGGAATGACTCCAGATTCTAGAAGGCAAGGCTGGCTTTATCATCTGAAAGGTCCATCAGGCAATAAGATGGGGGGCAGTGAAGATACTCAACCCCTACCCGCTACTGCCACCATTACACACACACACTCCCCTTTGGCAGACGGGTAGGACTATGGAGCTCAATATGCTGTCAGCTGGCTGGCCACTCCAGTATAAAGCTCATAAAATGTAAATGTATTAGCTGGAGCAGAAAGTGGGGAGGGGTAGAAGGAAATCATTCACTAACGGGAATGCATTTCTCAGATCAGCTAGGCCAGTGGTTCTCAACCTTCTGGCCCTTTAAATACAGTTCCTCATGTTGTGACCCAACCATAAAATTATTTTCATTTCTACTTCATAACTGTAATGTTGCTACTGTTATGAATCGTAATGTAAATATCTGATATGCAGGATGGTCTTAGGCAACCCCTGTGAAAGGGTCGTTCGACCGCCAAAGGGGTCGTGACCCACAGATTGAGAACCGCTGAGCTAGGCAGTATCAGGGGAGGGGTCTCCAAACTGAGTGACCTGAGAGAGGATCTGCCCCCTAAGTGAAGCTATGGCCAGTAGCTGGAAAGGGGAAGCTTGGGTCCAGCAGGAGAGGAGGAAGGCCTCCCACTTGCTAAAGCCGGGGTGTGCCAGGTCCCACCCTCAGAGGCGGGGCCAGGCTAAGCCCGTGGCCACAGTTCCATCCTTCCAGAACCCAGGCAGGAGCAGAGCCTGCGGCAGCCGCGAGCCTGGGGCCCTGCTATCCCAGAGTGGAGGCACCATGCTCTCCCCGGCCGGGACATCAGACATCTCCAGAGGCCCTGCAGGGTCGGCTGCAGCAGTTCCCTGACACAGGACAGCCCAGGCTGAGGAGCACCTGTCTCCAACTGCCATGTGAGTCGCTACTCCCCTCCCCACCCCAGACCTCAGCCCCACTCCTGAAGAAGCCATTGCCACCAGAGCCAGCAGGGTCACACTACCCACACACCACTGGGAAGTCGCTCCTGGGGCTGGCCCTTCCCTTCTTGCTGCTCTGGTGGGGGTGGGGTAGGGGACTCAGGAGGGCTGGAGCTCCAGCCCAGGATCCAGAGGTTAGGTTGGAGGAAGGTACCCTGAGGTCTTGTGGGGTTTAATCAAGTTGACATGCAGGGACAAAGGGGAACAGAAACCGGAGGGCTGCTGAAAAGAAAAGATGTCCTGAGTTGGGGTCAAAGGGAAGATTGAGGAAGAGAAAACAGGGGAGGGGAAGGGGTGCAGCAGCTTGGAGGCCCAGCGTGGGGGCCTCAGCTTCTCCTGAGTCAGGGTGGCTGTCGGGAGGGGGCAGTAGGAATCCTTTCCTTATTGACTTTAATCCTAGCAACAGCAGCTGCTCCCGTGGACAGAAGCAGGCGTTCCCACAGGGTCCAGGACCCCTCCCTGTTTCCTGATGTAGCAGTGGGGCCGGGCGCTGGCGGGCTGAAAACAAGGAGCCAAGTGAAGGAAAGGACAGGGACAGAGCAGAGCTGCAGAGAGGCCAGCCCTGTCCAGCAGCTCCTCTCCCCTTTCCTGGGGGTCAGCTTCAGCCTCAGGGTGTGGGAGGTGTCCTCCTTGCTGCTGGCATCTCCACATTCACTGCCAATCCTCCTCCAACCTCCCCCGCCCCGCCACCCACTCACTTCTACCCCCAGCAACTCCTCTCTCTCCTCCAATTCCCAGGAAGGGACCTGTTGCTAGTGGTGCAGATGAGTCAAGTTTATGGGCTGGAAGTCCTATCCAGAGGCTGCTCACTCATCTGTAACCAACCGGCCACAGGGCAGATGGGGATGGTGGTGCAAGGGACAGGGCAACCCACTTGCCGCCACCATTGCCCTGACCTCGCCACTAATTCTGATGCTTAGTGATCCCTCTCTCTGCCTCACTCCTGCCCCCACCCCAATCCTAATGCTCTGGTTTCCCACCAGGCTTCGAGCATCTGAAGACAGGGACCCCTCTCCTTTACCTGAACACCACTTCTAGCACCTGGCCCTCGCCCAGAGGAGGCTGTCAGCTTTGGCTGACCACTACACCAGCCACACCCCGTCTTCCCTTTTGGCTAATTTAGAGGCCTTGCCAGTAGAGGCGGGGGTGAGCAAGATGCTTTGGGGCTGGATGGGTCATTCTTTCAGTTTAAACAGGCATAAGCACAGCTGCACAAGGGGGCCAAGCGGGTAACAGAAATGGGTGAAGTGGCCTGTGGGGAGGTCCCCACTCCAGCTGGTCACTACCACACAGGACATAGGTATTGCCACAACTGATTTCTTAAGCGAAGCCAGAAATAGAAATTTTAATTGGCCATTAATTGAAAAAAATGTATATACAGCTTAGTCCATTTGGCTGCAACCTCTAGATTAATAAGTATTCCCAAGAGGACAGTGACCTGCAGCCCCGCCCTAACTCTGGCCACCCCATCTCCTGTCCAGGCATGTCGGCCGTTGCTCCAGATTTTCCCTGTCCCCAGACCCAAGATGACACCCAACAGCACCAGGGAGGTGCCCGGTGCTGTTCCCATGGGAGCCTTTGGGCTCTCCCTGGTCCTGGCAAGCCTCATCGTCGTGGCCAACCTGCTCCTGGCCTTGGGCATTGCCGGGGACCGCCGCCTACGTAGCCTCCCTGCTGGCTGCTTCTTCCTGAGCCTGCTGCTCGCTGGGCTGCTTACGGGGCTGGCACTGCCCACACTGCCAGGCCTGTGGAGCCAGAGCCGCCGAGGCTACTGGTCCTGTCTCTTCCTCTACTTAGCACCCAACTTCTCCTTCCTCTCCCTGCTCGCCAACCTGCTGCTGGTGCACGGGGAGCGCTACATGGCAGTGCTGCGGCCTCTCCGGGCCCCTGGGAGCGCTCGGCTGGCCCTGCTCCTCACCTGGGCTGGCCCCCTGCTCTTCACCAGCCTGCCCGCTCTGGGGTGGAACCACTGGGCCCCTGGTGCCAACTGCAGCTCCCAGGCTGTCTTCCCAGCCCCCTACCTCTACCTCGAAGTCTATGGGCTGCTGCTGCCTGCCGTGGGTGCTGCGGCCCTTCTCTCTGCCCGTGTGTTGATCACTGCCCATCGCCAGCTACAGGACATCCGCCGGCAGGAACGGGCAGTGTGCCGCGGGGTGCCCTCGGCCCTGGCCCGGGCCCTGACCTGGAGGCAAGCAAGGGCACAGGCTGGAGCCACGCTGCTCTTTGGGCTGTGCTGGGGACCCTACGTGGCCACCCTGCTCCTCTCAGTGCTGGCCTATGAGCAGCGCCCACCGCTGGGGCCTGGAACTCTGTTGTCCCTTGTTTCACTGGGCAGTGCCAGTGCAGCGGCCGTGCCTGTGGCCATGGGGCTGAGTGATCAGCGCTACACAGCTCCCTGGAGGGCAGCTGCCCGAAGATGGCGCCGGGTGCTGCGGGGAAGAGCCTCCCGGAGCAGTCCTGGCCCCGGCACTGCCTACCGCACCAGCAGCCAAAGCAGCACGGACCTGGACTTGAACTAGGGGAAGGGCCTCCGCTTACTCCTACTAGAAGCATCCATCCATCTCAGCCACGCCTGTCTCCACTTGTCCGCACACCCCTGGATCAGAGACCCTGCCCTTTTTTATTGGTGGAATAAAGCTCCTCTGGCCGAGTTTATTGGTATCTCATTCCATATCGCAAAAGGGGAGAGGCAGGTAGAACAGCTGTGGAAAGAACCTAAAATAAGGGAATCAAGGGAGATTCCAACTCTGGATAGAGCAGCAATTGTAGGTGAGGCTGCACCACCGGCAGGGAGGGAGGGCTGAGTGCTGGAAGTCCAGCACATGTGGGGGCCTCGCCCTGATATGCCCCTCACCAGTTCTTCCTCAGGTCCAGCCACCACAAAATCCAGACATAGTCTCTGGGAAGTATATTTTATTTACATTTTTAAAATCTGTAACTAATCTCTCTCTTCCTCCTTTCCACCCCCAGAGACTTGGGAAGGGAAAGAACAGGCATCTCAAACACCTACTCCCCACATACAAATAGGCACCCCATAACTCACACCCACAAATGAAAGTGAAAGAGAGATCCCCCAGGTCTGGGGGAGGAGGAGGGGCCTGAGGGGTGAGGGGTGGGTCTCTTATGAGAAGAAAGGGACAGAGGGGCAAGTCAGTGTGAAGGGGTTGGAAAGTAGTCCGAGGCCCCTCCCATCCTCTTCCTTCATACCCTCCTGCCTCTGCTGGTGAGGGGTCTCCCTTCACCTCAACACCAGACCCAAAGCAGAGGCTGCAGCCACTAGCGGTCAGGTCTCTGGACACAAAATACTTTTGCTTTGTGGTCTCCTGATGTGGTCACCACCAGGGAGGCATCTCTGTGGACAGAAAGAATAGGCTCGAAGGGATGGGAGCCTTGGGGCTGGCCCAAGCCCAT